TGATGCATACCATGTTGATTTTACCCTCTTGAACAAACTTCTGCATCTTGGCCGGCAACAGTTGCAGCAGCCGGACTCCTTAGAGCGCCCCGCACCCAATGTCTCAAAATCGTCCCCGAGAGCCTTCGACTGCTCTCAAGGCCAAGAGGCTTATCTGGTCCATCAGCACTTCTGGGTAATCCCCCTCGTACTCCTCACTGTCAACCGTGGTCTCGCCTGAAACTTTCACGAAAGATTCGGATGCGAATGTCACGGCAATGGCCTAGCGTATGCCTGGCTGGCCGTCTGGTGTGTGTTGGTTGGTGTGGCTGGCTGCCTGGCTGGCTGGTGTTGGGTTGGTTGGGTTGGGTTGGGTTGGATATTGGGTTTTTGGTTGTTGGTTGGTGGGTGGGTGGCTGGGTGGCTGGGTGGCTGGGTGGGTGGCTGGGTGGGTGGGCTGATTATGGGGCTCAATCTGAAGTTTTGCACATTTCGCACGGCCTGGATCTGGGTCCTTTTCAGGCTCAGGCCTGCTCTTAGGGCTGGTTTTGGCTTGATTGGAGGCGTGTTTCGCCTCTTCAGCTCAGATCTGTTGAGGTCTGTCCAGCCGCCTTTACGCTGCATCCCAGCGTCTTGAGTAGTGATCGTGCAGCAAGTTCATCACCTCGCACCTGAGTATCTGTGACACGGACTCGAAGCGCATCGCTCGGAGCTAACTGGCTTATCAATGACACAAAGGCAGCTCAGAAGGGGCTTGTGATGCGGGATGTAAGCAAAGACTGCCGAGTTTCGTCCTCACTTCAAAAAATGCACTTTGCACTTGCCTGCTTTGAAGCCTGCTTTTCAAAGAAGAGTGTCTGTTCAAGCGTTGGGCAGCAGTAGTTGCACGACATCGCACATGTGGTTCCATCCAAGCAACTCCAGTGGCTCAGATGGAAGTATCTCGTTCATCTGCACCATCCATGTGCAGAGAGGGCAGCGAGCTTTGCATCGCCGTGGTGAGTGTGTGCAAGAGTGCGTGCTTGCTATCTTGTGCTCCGACTCCAACAAACCAGCACTTTGGGTTGCCTGTTCACAGATTGAAAAAAATGGCAGCGAATTGCTTCTGTGTCATGCATGCAGCGCCTGATCAAAGCCGGCTTCTTTGTTAATCCAGCTCTCATGGTATGGCTTGCCTTTTGTCACAAGCTGGACGAGCCAGTCCGACCAGCAGAAAGGCATGAGGCTACTTGAAGCCTCGTGCCGGTTTCATGCCTCCGCATGGAAACAACCATGATTCTCTGAGGAAAAAAGGATCCGAAATGTTTGAGAGGTTTGGTTGTCTGCCTCGAGATTATGGAAGGCATGCTGTCTTCGAATTTCTAGCAGGCGTACACTTTCCAGTCACTAGCCATGGTTTTGGGCTTGGGGAATGCAGTTTCGCAGCATCTGATTGATCCTGAATTGAATTCTGCCAAACACCTGGCATCTTCCACTGGACAAGAGAAACTGAATTCGATTGAAGTATGTTCCACCATGTCACTTCAATGGAACACGTCAAAGCAACCTGCGATAACCTGCACTCTGTTTCACCCTTTGATTCGAGAAGCTGACAGGACATTCAAAGGTGGATTACTTGACCCTGAACATCCAAATTTCAATTACCCCGTTTGGCAGGCTCACCGTAGCATCGAAAAGCCGTCAAAAGATACGGTCGTAGTGTCGGGACCTCACCCCGAAGCTGCAGTGTTCCAGAAGCATTGGGCGAAGAAACGGACCGGCTTTGATCAGCTGGTCGTGACTGCTCATTCCAAACCAAAGGCCTCTAAGACTCTAAGCTTCTCTCACGACGTTCCGTAGGGCTCTGTCTTGTTTGGCGGAAGACTGGAGGCTGAGGATCCAATTTGACTGAGTCATATTCAATCTGCTTCCGGATTCCTAAACCTATGGACGACCGACAAATCCATCAACAACCGACCAGCCAACGGACCAAGTCCACTGTATCGGTCCATCCATCTGCCTCGCCACATGAACAACCCTGTGGGTGTCAGTCCTCCTTGGCAAACTCCGAGGCAGCAAAGCCTTCCTGTCACCCAGAAGTAATACTACGATCCTCGATAAATCAGGGCTGGGCTCCGTTTGTGCCCTCCGAAAGCATGCCAGTTACGTCCCAAACATTTCTCTTCGCCGAATCCGCCAGATTGCAAGGGGATCAACAAATAGATTTGGGACGCAGTATTACACAGCGCACCACAACGACAGAACACTGTTGAAGACTCCGGAAGGGGCAACCATCAGATGTTTGACCCTTCGCCCCAAGCCTTTGGAAGCAAAAACTGATGGAGAGTAAGTCGGAGAAGTGTATGGCACTGGAATCCCATCCAAGGTTTCCATGGTTTCAGTTCCATAGCTGACCCTGAGCTATCCCATGCAACGGAATGCTAGACTCAAACCCTCGGGCAGCTTGAGGCGCACCCAAGGTGCCGAGCTTCGTTTCACCGGTGCGCTGGAATCCCGCCTCGCCCCAGTCCTGGGCCATGGGAAGCGTCTCCCGCGGCGCCCGTTTCTGCTCCCGCAACCCAATTTGGAGAAGAAGGTCTTCGGACTGATTTCGCGATGTCCGCAAAGCGCCAAAAACTGGTCTTCTGCAGAAATTTTCCCAGGACAATCTCTGCGGAATCCTGCGAACCTAGCCGTGGGGAAAATTCGGAGTCACACTTGGAACATGCAAAGCACTTTCGTCGACCTGATACTTAACTGGGTCTATCTTTTTTTCGGGATTAACGTCTCTTGGTTGGTTTTAAAGGGAAGCCAAAATGAAACCAGCCATTTTTGGGGTTCGCCAAAAAACACCCAATTGACTCCTCAGCTGATCTCTGTGCTGCTATTTGGCTCCGAAAAAGCCTTGACAAAGCTGAGCGCCCGCTTTTGCAGGTGTCCCGCAAGCCACTTCCCCCCGCTTGGCTTTTAAACCACCAGAAAGGTGAGTCACAATGTAAACTGGTACAGTGATCCGCCCAAAATGGTTGGGACATCCCAACATTAACTGGAACATCCACCCAAAATGCTGGGGACTGGCTCTATCTATCCTTCCCGTTTACCTGTTCGTTGTGGCGCATGGCGTGGCAATTTTGGCAAGCTTCCAGCGTCACGGTGCGGATGCTGCCGCCGAAGCTGCTGGGGGATCCGTGCTCCCTGGCGTATCCCCCGACAGACAGGGGGGTCTCCTTCTGAAGGAAAAACTCCGGGCAACAAGATTATTCTAGGGGTACCTTCCATTTCTGTCCTTTCCAGGGGTCCTTCTTTTCAGGAAACCATGCAAAACCCACAGAAACAGCCGGTCTTTGAAAGAACGATGCTTGAAAAAAATGGGGAATCAACCCTAGAATTATAGTCGATTGCTACAAAGGCTTGCCAACGTCGAACAAATGCCAAAGTTTGTCAAGGTGCAGATTTGTCTTCACTGAGAACTACAAGGCAACTATAATTGATTGACACCGGCCATGGACAAATCACGCCCTTGCTAGAAAACAAACAAGGGAAACCCACGAAAACAGGTCATGAGGGACCGGCTTTTGTACCCACAGCTGCTTTAATAAAAAGTGTTCCCTATCCAGGATCCTGCGACTGTTTCGAGGGTCGAGCGTGCTTTTGCTGGAAAACAAATCAGGCCAAAAAAAGCACACAAATCAAAGCCTTAGCCATTTACTTGTGAAGGGTGGTTTATCTAAGCACTTCCCTCTAAAGGCCGTAGATGTTGGAATTCCTGCTAGAACTGGCCTGTCCAGCTGTCGCAGCGACTCCTGCAATGCGAATAGCGAGGTGCCGCCAACAAAAAATGCGGGAGGGGGGGGGGCTACCCCTCCGCGTGCAACCTGTTTGACTCTCTCTCAAGCCAAAACCCATGGGTTCCAGATGGACAACCAAAAAATGGACACCCAAATGGGAGGCCGAGGCTGACGACGGCATCGGAGCTAGTGCATTATCGGTTAGTATCGTTCCTATTTCTTGCGCTTGTTTAAAGTGTTTAAGGTTGTTGAGCGCTGGCCGGACTGGTCAGCTCTGGGCACGCGCTTCCGCTTGCGTTCAGTTAAGGGTTTGCATGCAACCATGATTTTCCTGCATATGGGTCATATGGGTGGTGTTTGCCACACAGCAAAAACATGCTGTGTAGCACAGAAGAGAGAAACGCTGGGTGGGTGGTATGCGTAGACATTTATCCTTTGAATGCCACCGGCCTCTGAATTAGACGTCCCATTGCACATGCGCTAGCAAGAGGTCCAAGATGGACTTCTCTGGCCCGCAAGGTAAGCTGGCTTGGTGGATTAGCTGAAAAAACTATACCTTCGAACCTTTGGTGCACGCCACTGATGGGCTTCATGTCCACCATGGGGTATGTCCTTTGGTCCTGCCGCCTTGCGCCGCCTTTTGACAGGCATAACTCTGACAAAACCATGGTGGGGGACCCCAAAAATCCTGGGTTTCTAGTGTTCTTGTTGGATCCCCGGGGAAGAGCGTGAACCATTTGGAAGGAAACTCGCTGAACTTTCATGGCCCGACTCTCCTGCAGCACCGGCATTATCTTCACCTGATCCGTGCAGGTGACTTCCGCACCCAGCCTGGCAGATGGGAGAGCCAAGCTATTCGAGAGCGCGACGTTCTTTGAGACACCCACAAGGGTGGAGAAGCCAAAGGGAAAATCACCTTTCCAGGGGTCAAATACCCATCTGGCAGTGAATTTTCAGGAACCCTCTCAAAAATGCTGGGAAAGCCCTAATTTGCAAATGGTGTCTGTCCTGCATGTTGAAACTCTTCCCACTTGGTGCATGACAAGCCAGGTTCCCTACCTTCGTATACCTACAAGAACCATGCGGGCACACCCACACCAGTCTCCAACCATGAGAGCTTGCGGTCCAGTCTCCACACAACGCCTAACGCCATATTGCTTGGCACGGGAGAGATGAGTGTTTTGTCTTCGCAACAGATTGAAATCCGTCGTCAACAAAGCTGATGAACTTGCACGCTGTTCGATCTGAAGGGAACATGGCCATGGGAAGTCTGTGAAGAACTTTGGCTGCAACAATGACAGCAGCCCTACATGTTGCGTGCTGCATGAGTGTTCCATCACGCCTGAACATCAGAATACGTGCGGTTGACGGACATTTCTGCGGAATTCCCCACATCCAGGACAGCCCTGATCAAGATCTGGATGATCTGGACGCAGCGCCCAGCAAGCTGACATCCATGAAATTTGAGATTGGCTTGATGCTGCATCAATCCACATAAAACCGCAACTGTAATGCTTTGATGTTTGTGACCAGGATGCAAAGAGCTGCACCGGTGCAGAATTCGTGCCTTCAACTTTGGCTCTTTTCAAAGTGACCCCCTATCGTCATAATATACTAAAGAAAGCTCAAAGTAGTCAACGGGCAAAGCTCCGCAGGCTTTGTAGCGCAAATGCTGTTCTGAACGTCTCTGTACCTTGAAGTTGTATGGTAAGCACACACAACATCAAGTCCTGCCCTCGGAAGCAGGTGCGCTTTTCTTCGCAAGTTGCTCAAGGTCCAAAGAGTGCCTTACCTGGGACTTCTCCCATTAAAGGCGTGGCTTGAGAGCAGAAGCGTTTGGAAATACTTTACTTTCTTGCAGATGCCAGGCTCCGTGTAAACCATCCGGCCAATTGAGGGAAGGCTTGCGCATGGCGATTTCGAATGGGCGAGTGTGCACTGCATACGAAGCCTAGCCTAATTACCATGCTTCGAATTTGCATCAGCAGAATTGCAAGCAAGCGCTCAATCGATCGAATGGTACCTGGGAAGCTGAAGCTACTTGGTGACGCTCGAAGTGTGGCAGTGCAAAAGGAAATGGACAATGGTTTGCATTGCTTGACGTGCATCATGTCCTTAAGGTGGGCAATTGCGACCCTTGCTAGAATCTCAGCTCTACCTTCCCACCGAAACCAAGCGCTCGGCGGTCAGTTGGTCAGTCAGCATGGGCAATCTCTTGCTCCTTGCAAGCCTTGGCCCAGGGATCTCGGCCATTTTCTGCTTTGGGATGGTCAAACCATTTCGCTCCTTCGCTTGCGACTAAACCCGCAAATACATTGCAGGAACCTCATACGCATCCGAATTCGAAGCTCACCACCTGATTCAGCGTCTTGCAACAGGTTGAGGGGCTGTTAACAATCCATTTTGGTCAGCATTTACTTGGGTCTGCCCCCAAACCCCACATGATTACACATATCCCCCTGGTTTACCGGTTTCTGGTGCACCGGCTGCCAATTCCCAGGCTCCCCGCAGGGCTCGCTGGACGCGCCTGTGCCATGGCAGTTGAATCTGCCCCCTCCCACATGCTGGGGCTGTGCAGAGTTGATCAACAGCTAGTGTGGCCAGTCACTGAAGACACGAAACCCCTTCACGAATTGGACTGCAGCTCTAACGATTTTCGACATGTCATACAGACCAACCTAAGGTCCGGCGTCAGAAGCCCCGATGTCAGCCGGCATAAACAAGGCACTGCATCAATCGGTTCAATGAATCTGTCCAAGTCACACACATCGCCTGCGTCGAACTCCTTTCTTGCCTGGTTGTTGATGACCCTTTGGTTTCATCCAGTGTCCCTTGGTTGCAACCAACATAACACCACCTGCTCAATCCAAATTGAACTTCTCTGGGGATCAAACATGAGCCCTTCCCTCAAGCGTGCATCGTCTTGAAACCCATGTCATCGTTCCATTGCTATCCAGGGTACTCTCGTCTCCTTGAGCGAAACAAGTCGGGCAATGACATCCTACGTTTCCATCAAGCTCATGGTGGCCACAGAGAGAAGACATCAGAATCCAAAAGGACGAACTAAGCCTGAGCATGTCTGCATGCCAAACACGCTTTTGAACCAATCTCCATCTTGAACATGTTCAACGCGGCAAAGGGGGGTTCATCCGGGTGTGAATGAATTAGGTGGGTCTGGATAAATCAAAAAAACAAAAAAAACATCCGGGTGTCGATTAGATGAGATGTGTCTGGACAACTCAAACAACTATGTATCTCTGGTGATTTACTTCAGGTTGAAAATCGCAGTTCGACCAAGAGGGCCCTTTGTACACCTCCTCCATCCAGCCTCAGGGCTATGCACCGGGCGAAGTGCCTGGCAATCCGTGACTCGAAGCATCCCGCGCGATAGGACCACGCACGTGAAACTGTGAATCATCCGATGGATTCCGTTCGGCCACCAAAGATGAGAGGAGGGGGGGGGGGGGGCGATACCATTGCAAATCCCAACAGGACCACTTGGGCTGTGAGATGTTGCGGGGTCTGAAGGGGTCCCAAGGGCCTTCCCCTTCGCCACCTGATTTTGGTTGCTCAACTCGAGACCGTCGACAGACCCAAAAACACCCTGCCTCCGGGCTGCGAGGACTGCGAGGGCTGGCCAGCTTCACCTGCCATGCGCCGTTCCTTTGGGTTCCGCAAGAAAGGGGGGGGGCACATGGGGGCAGCAGCTGAAAAAAACACACACACAAGACAGTTAAATATATCTGCGCGTGCGGATGAGCAAAGCCGCGAACTGAGGTCCATGTGTCAAAAGGGGAAACGTCAACCAGAACGTCAACCGGGCAACTGGGGCAGAACCTTGGAACACGAGTTGGTGAAAAGGGAAAGGCGATGCTTCTGCCAAAGGTCATGCTTCAAGTGATAGTTCTAAGGTTGATTAGTATGATATGACATTGTGACAAACCAGCTTGTGCAAGTACCTGCACCAATCGTCATAGCTACTTAAGCATGAAGGTATGGCGAGCAGCTTAAGAAAGGTCATGGAAAACAAGTCCGCACAGGACTGGTACTCTCGTGCTCACGATAAGCCATGTCATGATCACGTCATGCAATTATAGCGATTAGTGAAGAGTATTGCGAAACAGATTTCACAAGATCCACTGAAAGGGAAAAGGTTGGGAAATACGGAACAATGTTTTTCCTGCTTGCAACCAAATGCCTCAACCAATCCGAAACGGGATTGGGTCAGAACACTGAGAAACACAGCGATGGCCATCAATTTGGGGAGCCCTGGGGCGCTTGGGCAGGCCCGATTCTGGCCCCAGACCGTTTTCTGTCAGTCGCTACTACCCCCCCTCCGGCCAAGCTTGTTTGGATTCCTTGGAAATGCATCGGGTAAGCACTCACTTGCCCCCTGGAAGGGGACAAACCTGTTTCTCTTCTACCTGATTTCCAAGATGCGAGCCACGCAGTCAACGGAGCCTTGGTGAAAAATGCTCAACGATTATTGTGCCGGTCCAAGGCCGGGTGACAAGCTCAATCGAAAGCAAACGTAAGCTTCCATGGCAAACCAATGAACCATGTTGTGCGCGACCTCACTTGTCCGCACCTTCTCTGGGCTGGCACTGGCCCTGGCATGGGAGAGGCTTGCAGGAGTTGATCATGCAAGCCGAACACCTGCCCGACATGCGCCCATTTTTGGACAACACTTGGGCTGCCCCCCGGACCGCTGACAGCACATGATGGGATTGTAAACAAAAGCACCACTCAAAAGTGGCCCTTGGTCCGTGCGACCCAAGGTAAAATCTCGAAATGAAAGGCTAAGCCAACAATTAATTAGGAAGCTTGTGTACAGGTTGCAAGATCTTCACAGTCACCCGGAGCGGGCAAGGCCACTAAACGACTCCTTCCAGGCAAACGACTTGAGCTGCGAACTAATCTCAAGAAACCCTCTGAAAAATATCCGTGGTATGCATCCTGGTATGCTGCTCTGGGCATTGAATGCGAGTGGACTCCCTGTGTATACAATCGGCTTCTGATTGACAACTATCATTTCGAAAAGGCATATGATTTGGAGCATGTTCTGGGCATCGCGTTTGCTTGCGCAAAGACGGGCAAACACAAAAAGGCTGCTGCAGTGTGTTGCAACTGCCTGCTCCATACATAAATGAGCTGTTAGACATGATCAATCTTCGTCAATCCAATCTTCGGGCCAACCTGAGCATCATGCCCAGGCTGCAACTCGACCAAATGTATTGCGCTGGGATTCCTATCTCTCCTCGGCAAACTGATAAGGATCACTAGCATCTTCAAGCCAACGAGCGTCAACACTGAAGGCTGGAGATGAAGGTGGCAACCGGCAATCTGATTGATCCTCAGATTTCAGAGTTTTAATAAGTTTCACCCTCTGAAATGCCTACCTATCCAAAATTATCCGGTGCTTAGGCCAGGCACAAGTGTGCCTTGGAATGCAAACAACTCTGTTGGAGTGGAATGAGTCCACTGGGTTCGCGTTGTTGCAGAAACTGAACTGCCCAATCACAATACCAGAAGGATGCAGGGGTTCCTGCCAGCCCAGAGTCTATCTGCATATCGTTTACGTCATCTCTGTGCGGTCCACCGGGGAATATTCCAAAACAACTGCAAAACAACGATCTGGGAACTCTCCCAGTCTGATGCGCCTGAAAACGCACAGCTGCGAGCGCTGCTGCTCCCACTCGGAATCTCGCCTGGCATTTATCCGTCTGTCAGTCCATCAAATTCCTTCTGCACGTCGGGGCCGGTCGGATTGCTGAGGGAGCTCCGCTGAGGAGACAAAGTGGCCTGAAATTGTAGATAGCAATTGGCAGCACCACACACACACACACACTCGGCCAACAGTCAACCTACATCGAACGGATAATGTGGGCAACTAAGGACATCTTGAGCTGTCCAGCAACCTTCCACTCCGAATTTCAAACCATGCCACATGTGCTGGGCGAGTGCCACTGCTCGCGCACGCTCCGCTCGTTCCTGCGGCGCATCCGCCCACGCCTCATCCCCTGACCCTAGGGAACATTCCCCAGAACACGGCACCAGCCTGAATCCAGTCATTGAATCCCTGCCTGCACCCTCGACTCTCAACCCTCAAATCCCTCAAGTTTGGCTGGTAACTCTTGAACTAGAGTGAGGGCCGGCCCCCCAAAACCTCCCAACACCACCCTAAAATGGCCCCCCCCCCCCCCGAAAAAAAGGGACCCCCTCATGATCCCGCCGGTCTCTTGCACCTTGGGAAGTGCTTTGGCCCAACGGAAGCACCGTCCCCGTCCTCCACCGACTCGGCCGCCTGGATCCACTCCTCGTGATCTGCGCCCTTCGGCACCACGACCTGGCGGAACGCTTGGCCGTGGGTCAAAAATACGGCAACCCCAAAATGGCTTGCCCTGGTAAGAAGAAACATGGACTAAAATCTGCTTTGTTCTTTTCGGTTTTTCTTTTTCTAGTGGTTTTATTTTGACCCACACCCACTTGGTTTCGCCCTGATTTCAGGGTTTGCCTCCATTAGATCCTTGGATCGTTTATACAAGTTTACGGCTTCTCCCTCGCATATCAAGGCTTGACTAGCCAGAAGCAAGAGGTCATGCTTGGCTCTCAGCAACAAATCATGCTAGGGTTGTCGTTAACAGGGGACCAACCTGACTCCAATCATTTTATGTTATACACCTACCCCATGCTTTGCCGCGCTTCGTATTACAGCTGTGACTTGCGCATCATGGACAGCAACTTGCGCATCATCAACAGTGCGCTAGTCTGCTCAACACACGGAAGTCGACCAAGTGGCTAACCATCCGCTGTGCCATGACTATGGTTCGAAACAAAGATCATACATGAACAGCCATCACCAACCATCACAAAAGGAAATACCAAGCTCTCCTGCCATTTTCCATTTTCCCCAGCACCTATCCTGCAAACCCAAACACTGCATTCGAATTGCCGCTTGCATTTTCCCCAGCACCTATCCTGCAAACCCAAACGCTGCACTCAGATACCCTTGCCAATGCCTTAGACTGAAATTCACCTGGACCTACCGCACCTGCTGAACCGCATTCAGCACCCTTTCACCTGCATAGGCATGTCTCTTGGGAAAACAAATGGCTGTGGGTCAAGACCCTGTACCCCTGGTGAACATCAAACTAGGTGGCAAATGGACGTTCATCCACCCCAAAATGGAGCCATAGGATATGCTCCTGAAACCACTAGGTCCACCAGGACTCGCCATCCATTTTCGACCCAGAAAGGCACACCCAAAAAATCGGCTTCCCCACCTCCTTGGCCACTCGGGTCGGCCCGACAGGCACAGGCATCTCCTTGAAGGGCAAAGGCCGGTCCTCAGAAAAGCGCTCGGACGGCCGGCCGGGCCGAAACCCGAACCTCCGGGGAAAACTAGGGCCAAAATGTGTTTCCTGGTTTGTGTGGCATTTGAGAGGGCCACTCTGCAAACGTTTTGCTGCCGTAGGAATAGTGTTCATGCATGTTCCATGCGTTTGGGCCAAAGATATGGCAAAAAAGCCAACAAGCTAGTCGCGCTTTGTTTGTGGTACTGTCCCCTAGCCTTCAACCCAGGTGATAAAAAGGCGGCACTCGATGGTTCCATCTATCAGCTTCCTTCTACTTAGTGCTTGGTGATTAGGGACGGTTTCCCATTTATCCTCTACAAGAACCCGAGGTTCAAGCTCAAATCAAAACCACCGGGCTCCAAACCACCAGGGGGGTACCTCTACTAGGGGTTGATTCCCCATTCCTTTAAACCATCGTTCTTTTCAAGAACCAGCTGTTTCCCCAGAAATCTCGGTGGTTTTCTAGAAAGAAGGATCCCTGGACAAAAATGGAAATGGAAGCTACCCTTAGACTACTACTAGCGGATCCCTTGGAAAGAATGGAAATGCAAGCTACCCTTAGACTACTACTAGCGGATACCTGGAAAGAATGGAAATGGAAGCTACCCTTAGACTACTACTAGCGGATACCTGGAAAGAATGGAAATGGAAGCTACCCTTAGACTACTACTAGCGGATCCCTTGGAAAGAATGGAAATGCAAGCTACCCTTAGACTACTACTAGCGGATACCTGGAAAGAATGGAAATGGAAGCTACCCTTAGACTACTACTAGCGGATACCTGGAAAGAATGGAAATGGAAGCTACCCTTAGACTACTACTAGCGGATCCTACCCTTAGACTACTACTAGCGGATCCCTTGGAAAGAATGGAAATGGAAGTTACCCTTAGACTACTACTAGCGGATCCCTTGGAAAGAATGGAAATGGAAGCTACCCTTAGACTACTACTAGCGGATACCTGGAAAGAATGGAAATGGAAGCTACCCTTAGACTACTACTGGCGGATCCCTTGCAAAAAATGGAAAATGGAAGCTACCCTTAGACTACTAGCGGATCCCTTGGAAAGAATGGAAATGGAAGCTACCCTTAGACTACTACTAGCGGATACCTGGAAAGAATGGAAATGGAAGCTACCCTTAGACTACTACTAGCGGATCCCTTGCAAAAAATGGAAATGGAAGGTACCCTTAGACTACTACTAGCGGATCCCTGGAAAGAATGGAAATGGAAGCTACCCTTAGACTACTACTAGCGGATCCCTTGCAAAAAATGGAAATGAAAGCTACCCTTAGACTACTACTAGCGGATCCCTGGAAAGAATGGAAATGGAAGCTACCCTTAGACTACTACTGGCGGATCCCTTGGAAAGAATGGAAATGGAAGCTACCCTTAGACTACTACTAGCGGATCCCTGGAAAGAATGGAAATGGAAGCTACCCTTAGACTACTACTAGCGGCTCCCTTGCAAAAAATGGAAATGAAAGCTACCCTTAGACTACTACTAGCGGATCCCTGGAAAGAATGGAAATGGAAGCTACCCTTAGACTACTACTGGCGGATCCCTGGAAAGAATGGAAATGGAAGCTACCCTTAGACTACTACTAGCGGATCCCTTGGAAAGAATGGAAATGGAAGTTACCCTTAGACTACTACTAGCGGATCCCTGGAAAGAATGGAAATGGAAGCTACCCTTAGACTACTACTAGCGGATACCTGGAAAGAATGGAAATGGAAGTTACCCTTAGACTACTACTAGCGGATCCCCTGAAAAGAATGGAAATGGAAGCTACCCTTAGACTACTACTAGCGGATCCCTGGAAAGAATGGAAATGGAAGCTACCCTTAGACTACTACTAGCGGATCCCTGGAAAGAATGGAAATGGAAGCTACCCTTACACTACTACTAGCGGATACCTGGAAAGAATGGAAATGGAAGTTACCCTTAGACTACTACTAGCGGATCCCTTGGAAAGAATGGAAATGGAAGCTACCCTTAGACTACTACTAGCGGATCCCCTGAAAAGAATGGAAATGGATGTTACCCTTAGACTACTACTAGCGGATCCCTTGGAAAGATTGGAAATGGAAGCTACCCTTAGACTACTACTAGCGGATCCCCTGAAAAGAATGGAAATGAAAGCTACCCTTAGACTACTACTAGCGGATCCCTGGAAAGAATGGAAATGGAAGCTACCCTTAGACTACTACTAGCAGATCCCTGGAAAGAATGGAAATGGAAGCTACCCTTAGACTACTACTAGATCCCTTGGAAAGAATGGAAATAGCTACTTAGCTAGATCCCTGGAAAGAATGGAAATGGAAGCTACCCTTAGACTACTACTAGCGGATCCCTTGGAAAGAATGGAAATGGAAGCTACCCTTAGACTACTACTAGCGGATCCCTGGAAAGAATGGAAATGGAAGCTACCCTTAGACTACTACTAGCGGATCCCTTGGAAAGAATGGAAATGGAAGCTACCCTTAGACTACTACTAGCAGATCCCTTGGAAGAATGGAAATGGAAGCTACCCTTAGACTACTACTAGCGGATCCCTGGAAAGAATGGAAATGGAAGCTACCCTTAGACTACTACTAGCGGATCCCCTGGAAAGAATGGAAATGGAAGCTACCCTTAGACTACTACTAGCGGATCCCTGGAAAGAATGGAAATGGAAGCTACCCTTAGACTACTACTAGCGGATCCCTGGAAAGAATGGAAATGGAAGCTACCCTTGGACTACTACTAGCGGATACCTGGAAAGAATGGAAATGGAAGTTACCCTTAGACTACTACTAGCGGATCCCTTGGAAAGAATGGAAATGGAAGCTACCCTAGACTACTACTAGCGGATCCCCTGAAAAGAATGGAAATGGAAGTTACCCTTAGACTACTACTAGCGGATCCCTTGGAAAGAATGGAAATGGAAGCTACCCTTAGACTACTACTAGCGGATCCCCTGAAAAGAATGGAAATGGAAGCTACCCTTAGACTACTACTAGCGGATCCCTGGAAAGAATGGAAATGGAAGCTACCCTTAGACTACTACTAGCGGATCCCTTGGAAAGAATGGAAATGGAAGCCACCCTTAGACTACTACTAGCGGATCCCTGGAAAGAACGAAATGGAAGCTACCCTTAGACTACTACTAGCGGATCTCTGGAAAGAATCGAAATGGAAGCTACCCTTAGACTACTACTAGCGGATCCCTTGGAAAGAATGGAAATGGAAGCTACCCTTAGGCTAGCCTACTAGCCTTCGGGTGGCTTTGCAAGGACCTCGGGCCTTCGAGTTTGGTCAAGAGGCCGCCAGCCGGGCAAAGCGCTGCTCCAAGTGCCGTTCGATGGCCGCCTGGCGGTCAGGTGGAGATGGGTCGGCCCACATGGGATATGGACCCCCACCCACCCACCCCCCAGAAAAAAGAAGAAGCTGCAAACATACAACCAAAAAGAAGAAGTGTGACTTTGTCCCTTTCTTTCAACGAACCCCGAACGTTATTTCTTATATGACTCCTTCCTGATAGTGGTTAAGACCACCTGTTTCTATTGAAATAACCAAAGCGAACACCGGGCTCTGCTCTGCCATTCATGTATCACCAACTTCCAGCTAGCTGCCCACTAGAGACAATTCACAGTCTCTACTTGCACCTTATTGCCCTATTGCTTGCTGATTCTACTAATGATTGCTGTCAGCCCGAACAGCGACTCCTCCCAAAGCATCAGCAGGGGAAATGGTTTGATATTTCGGATTGGAATGGTGTTTAATTACGCGAGACCTACATCGAGGGCGCATACGGAGAGCCTCTGGCAAAGGCTTTGCATACGCGGAACACAAGCGTGCTGTGAAGCGCAAACATGGGCCTAGCTCCTTTCTTCTCTGCTGCATTCGTGGCAGCCTTCTGCAACTTGAGCAAACGCTTCCGACCGCAAAGTGTCCACCTCGTTGGGGCATTTCGGTCTTGTGTCCGCTGCCACGTGCCGAAAACGAACAGCGGGTATCAGTGGCCCGGCAGAGGGTGAAGTCATGGCAGGCTCAGCCTTTGCGCATGAGACCAGGTCTTTTAAACAATTGGTTTTTATTCCCTGCAAACTGTTTAAACTTGCTTGGACATTACTCAAGCTTCCGCGGACCCTTGCGCATCCTTGCCGCGGGCCAAGAGGTCCCTTCCGGGAACTTCCGCGGCGCATGTGCTTCATTCTTTGCTTCCGCAAACCTCCGCGGCGCATGTTTTACAACATTTGCTTTCACGAGTATTGGCGCAGAAGAGAAAGTCATTTTAAGCAAGGAAGGAAAGTAGTGTTTCGCCGCAGCCTGTGTAGGCTTGGGCCCCATTGAGCTACCATGCTACGTGGGCACTTGCCTGCAACCACGGGGCCCTCCCTTCCGCGGAGCTTCCACGAATCTTCCGCAAACCTTCCGCGAAATCTGCCGGCTGTTTTGGTCTTCTTTGCTTGCTGTTGGCACCTGCTCTTCTAGCGCTTCTAGTAAGCGCTGCGTTTCTTGTACGCAGCAACACCTTGCTGCTTCTACTGTAATTCGTTCTCCGTGCTTTTCCACACACGCAAGCTGAAACAATTAATTTCATATCAGCCGCAAAGCTTCCACAAACCTTCCGCAAAAGAATTCCTTCCGCGAAGCCTTCCACATGCTTCCGCGCGTGTGGCGCGGTGCACATTTTCAATGATTAATGTCCCGCTCCCTACTAAATTAGCTTGCGGCCAAAAAAAAACACCGCTCATTTGACGGACTATGACGGACTAATACATGATGCAAATCACACAGCTACCAGTAGCTGCCTGGCTCATGCAGCCCTGGCCCTCAAGGCGCCAACAGCCGACTCAGTCATGCTAAAAGGACTGGGACTGACCCAAGCAAGCACCACAGTCAATATGGCGACTTCCTGAACATGTCTATTTGACCATGACGCCATGAACCACAATAATAAACATTTAAACTCAAAACGGGCTTCAAGCCATTGAAGGCTAAGTATAGCCGCCGCAGAACACCTTGCAGAGACGTTCCATGCTTGTATCAGCCCGCAGTGCTGGGAGCCAAAGGGTGTCACCCGCCTGCTCACGGGGGTTGGGATGCTTCTTGAGGAAGACACGAGCATCAGCTCCTGATGCAGTGGCAGAAGGCCCCCGACAAATTGACAACTTTTTACAAACGTGGTCAACCCAGTAACCTTCAGTTCCACGCACGTTTCAGAATATGCCATCCCTTTACGAAAGGGATGGCTATTTACCTTGGTTTCAATCATGTTTTCAAATACCCACAGCCGAAGAAACGCCAGGTTGCGGGGGTAAGCTCGTGAGGCGGTGCTGGGGTTCATATTGGTGGGGAAGGCACCGAAAGGACCCGAAAAAACTAAGCTCAAAGGGAATGTACCAAACATGCTTTTGGGCAATATTCCATTTTTGATAGTCATTAATTAGTTTCCATGAGATTCAATTCATGACTTTGGAGAAATATCCAATGAGGATTGCTTCAGGCTTTCAGAGTCTAGGTACCTAGAAACTTCCAGGCTTTCAGGGTCCAGGCTTTCAGGGTCCTGGCTTACAGGAATTCCTGCTTTGTGCAACTGGATGCCGTACTCCCTGATCGCTGCAACCCTTCGAACCCTGGGCTCCTTCCACTGTGCCAACCGACAGGCCCGCGGTGCCCACGGAGAGGCTGCGGTCACCTCACGCCGACAGGTTTGACATTCCTGCAGGGTTAAGGCTAAGGGGGCCTCGGAACATCGAACATTCCAGGGCGAACGAGTCTCCAAGAACACAGAAGCAACAGGAAACCGGAGACACAACCAAGCGTCAATTGGACATCCTCGCTCAGCGGCCGTGGAAGCCCTTCGCCATTCTTTGGGCACAAGCCACGCTGGAACTCAATGGGCGTTTGTTGAATGCTGAACTAAAACACAGTTCGAAGCTCTCCAACAGGGCCAACAAAAATATAGGAATTGGCCCAAACGTAAACCATTGGACGTGAAAGAATTTTCGCCATGGCGCTGAATTTCCCTCTGCCCCCATGAGTCAACTGGAATTCCAATGTTTGGAACCCACTCAACTGAGCTCGAGCCCGCCTTCTAAAACAAACAAAATAAATGGGGAGAAAGAAAAGGCCGAATGGACCAATCTTCCGCCTTTCAGAAACCAGTTCTTAACAAACAATCAACAACAAAAGAACAATCCGGCTCGCATTGCCCCTTCGGCTTTCTCCGGTTCCGCCATTCAGAAACCATCCTGAGACCCAAATCCGGTTGTCCTCTTCGGTTCTCTTCCGACTGAAACCGCCCCAGGCCCGCGCCATGCCAGGAGGAGCTGCGGAGGCGGGCGCGGAAGGAGGTCTTCAGCTCCGGCGCCTGTGGGGCTCGAAAAGTGTTGGAGAACCATATGGGGGGGGTTGATCAAAATGATGGGTAACTTTCCCATTTAGTGGTGTATCCAGTGATGCCTCAAGTGACTCGAAAATGGGGGGCGTGATCAATCTTCCATTTAGGCCCCCAAAATGACCATGGCCAAGCTAGTTTGATTTCGCTGAACCAAAATGTGTTCTGGGGGTTGGGATTTCTTAAAATAGGGGGCCATGTCCTAAATGGTTGGTTTGCTTGCAGTGTCCCGTTAAGTTAAATGCACTAATTAATTAATAAGAGGTCCGCTGTTTTGAGAAACACCCATATGTGAAGAGTCAAACAGCGACCGCACCTATTGGACAGCCCGCTATCTAGCTTCAACTGTGTGCCCAGGTTTTCATTGCGGCTCCGATCCAAGTTTGGTGAGGAGTGCGCGTTGCAGCCGGACATTGGGAGGATTCAATGCGATAGATCCAATGGAGTGGCGGGACAGAATCATGGAGCATAAACAAAAATGGTGACGCTGCGAGCAGAACCTTCTGACAGCTGAAACCAAATAACTGAGCCAGTAATGTGGTTGTCAACGCATTTGGCTCTTGGGTGAAGAGTTGGCTCATCTTTCCGGCAATAGGGTGAGCCCCGTCGGCCACATCTCCAAGTCTTCGATGGGATTCTATGACAGGAACCACCGTGAAAACGCAAAAAACAAAAAAACAAAAAACATATGCCACGAGGAGGGCCAGCCCAGCCTCAGCACCCCGAACAGGCCAGCAGCTCTCGGCTCATGAAAACTCCCACAAGAAAACCTGCCGAGTGCAAGGTCCATTCCTTGCTGGGCTCCCCGGCCATGGGCGTGGTGAGCACATGCTCCGTGCAGCGCTCCGCCAAGTGGCCGCCCAGCAAGGCCTACGACTGCCCATGACAAGCACCACAAGAACAAGCGCAGGACAACTGTACAAATATGGAGGCAAAACCGATAAAGACGGCGGCCTGCTAGGATCTTTTCTTTTTGCTGGTGTCTCAGAGCAACCCACCACGACCCTTGATGGAACATATTAAGCATAACGCTATGTCATAGATCCAGCCTCGATCGAAACAAACTGTTGGACGTTTGGAGCAGTTTCGACCTGCCGATCTTGAATTGACCAACAGTTCGAGGATCCCCAGTTATGAGGCACTTCCAAATCAAAAAAAACAAGCGCGTGGTGAAGTGGGAAAAAGGTGCTTCTGCAAGTTCTGAAGGAGGTAGGAGGTAGACTCTCTTCTCTCCAACCAGCATAAGAGGTACTGAAGCCGAATTTAAGACGGTAGGAATTCAATAGGGGCATGTCCTCAAAGCGCTTGCACCAGAAGTCTACCTCTGGACCAACGCATCTTTCAGTTGCTTCATGCCGGTTGCGCTGTTGGGTCCATATCCCTTGCATGGTTGCTCCCACAAGCGACTGAAGTGTTCCTAGGCATCCTCGAGGAATCTTGTACCAGACTTGGATCAACCTATAGCATGAATGCAACATGCGGTGTGCGGAACAAGAAGCCATGCTCTCAGCCCCGCAATGATTCAAAGTATAAATTTGCTGCTGAAAAATGTCTACCCTACGCCCAAGAAAACGATTTGATGGCCTTTGCAACAATTCTCGGGTGACTCCCCAGGTGCAACAACAGACCCACATGTTGAACAACATTCAAATTGATACGAGGTCCCACCTCATGAGAGTTGTCCAAAGCTACCTCCCGTGCTACTGCCTAGTCTTTCCATGTTGGAAAGACGGTCCAACAATCACAAAGGTTTTGCCACTGCTTGCCCACATTTGCTGTTGCTTGCTGTTGCTGTAGATGCTGTAGATGCTATCTCCGCTGCTGTGACAGGCATACCTGCAATTGGAAGGCTCCTTTGCCTGGCATGTTGCATGCTCTTGCAAAGTGTGCGTGAAAAGGGAGCTGAAACGGCAATGATCGATGTTGATCGCTGATGATTGATGATGTTCTTTTTGATGATCGTCGTGACCAAGCATAATTGGTAGAGATGGATGATGCTGACGATGACGATAATGAGAATGAGGGTGAAATGAGGACGATGAGGATGATGGCGATGATCGCGATGATGGCGATGATGATGATGATGATGATGATGATGATGATGATGATGATGATGATGATGATGATGATGATGATAGATGATAGATGAAGATGATGATGATGATGGGGCTGGCGCCAAACATATTGTGAAGTGTTTCACGCAACTGCTCCTACCACCCCAGAAACACGGCACAAGCCCAAACATCCTCAGTTTTGGTCCTGTTTTGTCTCCTCAAAGGGGTGTGTTTGGGGTTTTCGTGCGGGGAGTGTGAGTATAGATTGCGCCAGCCTGACCGGGCCAAAACCGTGCCGCCCTCCGAAGCTCACTTGCCTCCTTGTACTTGCGGCGATTGCGGCGGAGCTGCTTCCTACACGTGAGCCACGGAAAATATTATATTTTTTTCCCCACGCAAGCATGAAACAAGTGGGTGGGCCCCCTGATTTGCTGAGAATGTGGGTGAAGCCCTCATGCCAGTCCCAAAATACACAGGAGTAGTGGTAGCTGCCCACACGTGCATCAACATGAGTAAATTGCGTGGTATCTCAGCTTTGCGGCCTGTGAATGCGATCAAAGCTCGTGTGTAAGTGTACGTGAACATCAATTGTCAATGAGTCATTAATCCTGCCACCTTGTGAGTTGCCGCTTCAGGGATCCCTGCAAACTTGCAGTCACTAATCTTGCTCAGCGGCCAAGGCTTGGCTACTGTCTTCTGATGCGCATGACGCCCAGTGTCAGATTAGGGGCGTGTAAGCTTGGAGAAAAGCTCAGATCGTCATGTGTGTACGAACGTATTGGGAGTATGTCACGTGTGGCTCACAAGGAATCCGGTGCTGTAAGAGGCATGTAACAGAACGGCTTGCACTTCCGAAACGGGCAGCAACACGAAGCGGGGTTGCCTTTCAACTCCTAGGACACAGCCAACGGTTCCCGACAGAACACAGGCCCGGAGGGAATACAAATCTCTGCCAGGAGTATGAAAGGTATGTAAGGAGCGAGTGCGTAGCGGGCCCAGCGGTCTTCTTACACAGGGTATGTCACGGCGCAAGAAAAAAATGCTGCGACTCTGTTTTACACCCCTCAGAAAACACGCTCGTGCCGATACGTAGCCGTCGGTCCAAAAGCACGGAACTTGTTGGACCATGGTCAGAGTGGCAGAGGCCCAAGTTACACGGCCCAACTGAAACAAGTCGATATCCAACTCAGGGCAACAATCCCTGGTGCCTCAAGTGGTTTCGTTGCCGACCATTTGCTCGACTTGTGAAAACCGGGGAGTGACAGGCAAAGGATATATCGCGCTTCGGCAAGGATCTTACCGCGCCTGGGGGCTTCCCAACACCTGAGATGATCTCCGCCGACCCCTTTCTCCAAAGGGGAGGCGCATGGGAAGGGTTTGTCTTTGTCCTTGTCTTTTCATATATATATATATGTATATATAAGACCCATTTTGAATTCAACCTGTCCCTAATCCCGACATAACCAGCCGGCCTCAGCGCACGGCGCTCCTCTGCAGCTTGCAGGCACTGCCGGTCCTATGCGCTAGGCACGAGGCGACGTTAGCCCCAACTCGAGTGCTCTACCTTTCTTCAAATCGAGGCTGGTCAACATTTGGTTGGTATAGGAAAACCTTCAAGGAGACCGACTGTTTCACACCACAATTTTGAGAACGACATGCCAATCAACTTTCATTCTGGAATCTGAACTTCCATCCCCCAGCCGTGAAAGTGCAACCCTCACGGACTCCGAGATGCAGGATACGATTCAGCAGATACATGCAACTCAACCGGCTGAATACTCACAACTCAAGAGGCAGTTTTCAGCCCCAACTCAAACATCAAGTCAAAACCCCAACGAGGATGTCCCAAACGAACCTGAGGAGTGCTTGCTGACTTTCCGGGAGCTCCTCCGTGCTCAGCTGGTCTCTGGAAAGGCTGCGCGGCCGGGACAGGTGCGACAACCTGCGAATCTACCAGTGCTGACTTGATTCTGCATGCAGCAGCTTGTCCAAAGAGGGTTGCGAGAACAGGACATGGCTACTCCTTGCGAAAAAGGCAACAACGGCGGAAACAAATGCTAGTGTATCCAGTGTCGCTAGCATTTGAATGCCTTGAGAAGGCTTATCCCCTATGCTGAGCTGCGGACAATAAATTTAATGCCACCGCAACATGTGGCATTGTCTTGCACAACCAGTGTGGCAAACTTGTCAGAGTTTCAAAATCTTAGTTCCTGGTGTCACACAGGCGCCAAACCAAAGACGCGCTATCAAGCCAACTTATTAGCAGCCATCCTGGAGTCATAAAGCAGTGCATGTTACACAAGGACTGCGATGGTGCCAGCGTGTCCACGTGCTATCACGTCAAACGGCCAAGAATACTTCAGGAAAAAAATGGTCGTCATGAGAACCAAGACAGTTGAAGGGCAGACCACAGCCACGCAGGATGCTTTGGTGCCGTGTGAACATAGCTGGCAGAAGCACGGGGCAAACAACCAGCTTTCACACAAAATGTTTCAATCTTCAAAATGACCCTACAGGCCATGCCACCTGTCCATTGATAGTTGGCCTACCCAACGTGCCGGAGAATGCTGCAGCACCGGGCTGATCCAACCAACCGCCAAAGATTCCATAGCTCTCGCCTTGACGCAGCTTTCATTGTGTTTTAGGGGCCCGCCTTCAAACGGTTTCTCCTTTCAGCTCCCGTATTTCCCGCTGGAGACCATCAAAAAAAGGGCTCTCCAATTTCGACATCCTCTCAGGGTTCCCCAACAATTGGCTGTGGGTCAAAAATGGGCACCCAAAATGGGTTGCCCTACTGGAACCAAGGACCAAAACCTGTGGTCCAATTCCTGGTGGCTTAATTTTGACCCATCAATTCACCCGCCTAGAATCCCGGCTGCTCTCTGAGGCACGCGAGCTGGACCGTGCAGGCGAAGGTGCCTCGATCAGACCCAGCCGGTGCCCGGTTTGTTGAGGATACCCATGTTGGGTTGCTACGAGGGAACACCAAACCATGTTGGGGGTCCCCTTCTGTTGACACGGTACAAAGGAAAGCAAAAACAAAAATGGGGGTCCCCTTCTGTTGACACGTCTGGATTTGCATGTTCGGGTAAATACATCACGGTGACGGTTGAAGGACGACGACAACGGAACGATTGCCAATGCGGCGGGTCCGGTACTTCATATGAACATGAGTTTCAACTATTGGCGAAGGACCGTCTTGGCGAAGCTACTTGCCATGATGTTTTGTTGAAAGCGGATTGAGGCAATCAACCGTGTCAGAAGCCGACCCATTCTTCAACTGTTGTCTCTTGTTCGGAGGCGTGCTGCTTGTTGCTTGTGTGTGTGTGCCTGTTTGTGTATATTACGTCTGGACGCGGGGGCTGTGCATGTGCATTGTGTGCATTATGTATATTATGTGTATCATGTGTACTATGTGTATTGTGCGAATGGTGCTTACGGTATGTATGCGCGCAAAAGTGCATATCTGTGTCTGTGTGTCGTCTGGTGCTCCAGGAAACTCTCGCTTTCAGAAAGCTTCTCGCAAGATAGCCACCCAGTATCCCCCTCACCACGACATAGTAGGCTACACAACCGGCAAGTACCCAAAGTTAGACGTCATTGGACATGCAGCAATAAATCGACTTCTGTCAGTGCCCATGGAGCAAACACGATAAGGAGCTTTCCACTGTCCGCACAAGCTGGAACATTCAAGTGACATGCTGCTCAAATTGGCATTTGGATGTGTCTGACATTTCTTGCCTGTGCACCTCGCTGAATTAAGCTTCCCACCACGCCGCGCTCGATGGAAGAGCCAAAGGCGAACTTTCTCATGGGCGAGTCCAGGCGTGCCAGCCTTGCAATGAGCCTAAAGCATCCCTGACCTTCACCGCAACACCTGTGTCCCACATTCCTGGCTTGCAAGTTCTGAGGAATATTCAGGAACTATGTCACCCCTAAAAGTTGGATGTCCAGGTGTTGCCCCCATGTGTTGGTTTTTGTCTGACACCTTTGGTTGTCCATTGACACGGACGGTCAACTCAACTCACGTGGATTGAAGTGTTCCGCTGGGCCCACGACGCCATGCGGCTCAAGTAGTGCTGCACAGCCACCTGACGAATGTGCAGGGCTCTCAGGATCTCAGGAAACACAGCGTAGGTTCCCAGAGAGGGAAAGGTAGATAGAGAGAGAGAGAGAGAAAAACAAATAAAAATAAAAAAAAAAAAGAAAGAAAGAAAGAAAGAAAGAGTAAATCGATACTGAATGCAAAGCAAGACACAAGGAAAGAAACAGCGCAGAGAAGTAAGGACTGAACAAATAAGAGAAAGAAGGACATCGAACAACAAAACAGCAAATAAAGTAGATGAATAACGAACACATAAATCAATTGATGATACGGAAAAGACAGAGATAAAGAAAGAAGGAAGAAAGGAAGGAAAGCAAGACAGCAAGAACACAAGAAAGAAAGAAAGAAAGAAGGAAAGCAAGCAAGAAAGAAGGAGGAAAGCAAGCAAGCAAGCAAGCGAGCAAGCTAACGACAAAGAAAGAAAGAAAGAAAGAAAGACAGACAGAAAGAAACAAAGAAAGAAAGAAAGAAAGAAAGAAAGAAATGAAAGACATGAAAGACATGAAAGACATGAACAGAAACAGCAATTACGTACATAAGGAAGCAAAGAAACCAAAAAGACGGAAAGCAAGCAAGACAGAAGAAAGCAGCAAGGAAGATAGGAAGAGAGGAGAAAAGGGCCAAACGAAGGCATGCGCATTCGCGCACATGAAGCTTCGGATTGAGTTTGTTGGTGGCCCTTTCAATAGATGGCGCAAGAAGCCTTAGGCATCAAAGACAGGCACAACAACAAGCCTGAGTTCACCAACCACCTACAAGAAACCCGCCTCCGGAACCCTAATCAAAGCCGGAGGCAATACCGTCAAAAGCGTGCGGGGGGGGGGGAAAAAAAACGAAACTGAACCAGCTTGAAATGTTGGCGACGCCAGCCCAACGCGAGAATGCTGTGCGCCGCTGGGCTGGATACCTGCTTCTTGGTGATGCAGTGGTTCTTGCATGCTAAGGTGGTGACGCAGGAGTTGCCGGGCGGTTACCTGGTTGATTTTGGCAAAACCTTACCAGGAGCAGTCAATGTGCTGCGGATGCGGAGCATCCTCAGCATTGCCCTTCCCCCTCACCGGGAAAAAGCAACAAATCCTATACACTGGTCAAAGACAGCTTCTGCGCCACCAACCTACACCAGGTTCCCGCGCCGTCACCAGAACAGTTGTGCAAAAGGAGATTGTTTGGCTCTTGGCTCGTGCTGCTTGGCTTGTTCAGAATTTCCCCCTTGTCCATTTGTAGATGCCGTGTTTTGTGGACCTCTGACCTGCCGAAGACTTGGTTCTGCCTGACTCTACCCCTGTCCCTCTTTTTGTCTATCTTGCCGGCATAGCCGGCTGGGCGAAAGCCTTCAACACACGCAATTCATGGTACACAAACAATGTGCGTACGTATGAGTTGTATTGGGCAATCGTCGCAAGAACACCGACGCACGCCTGCTCTTTCGCCGGCATGCCGCGTCCAGGTGTCATGGAGCGAGGTGTCATCGAGCGCCTGTCCGAAGAGGTCGCTTCGAGGCAAACATCTGCGTGCCGTATCTCACATCAGTGGATTCGTGTATATGCTCCTTCCCTGGGTATTCATTGACGGGCAAGAAAGCTCGACAAGGTGAAAAAGATGTTCTGGCTTGCATCAAGCCAGGGGCCCCCAAAAAACACATCATCCGGACCCTTCCGCCTGTTCCCCATCACAAGGTCAGCACACGCAAGAGGATTGCAGTCCCCAGACTCTGCCGGGAAACTGGCGCATCGCCTGCAAGTCCCCACATTCTGCCCGATACAAAGATGCGAATCGGACAAAACCCCAAACCAGCGAGGGATAAAGCCCTGAAATCAGGTGGGTTCCCGCCCCAACATCCCATGTACCACACCCAAACATTCAATCTACACCCCAAAAATCGGAGCTGGAAGGCGTCACAAGCCTCCGGATCCGCACGAAGCACGTCGGCGCCTGGTCGGCGTGCCCTGTGGTGTCCACTCCCGGGACGATGAGCAGCTGCGGGACCTGTCCGCAGTCCGCTCGTTTGTTTTCCGAGATCCATGCCGGACAACAACAACCGCCACTCAACGACAACCAGCAACAACCAGCAACAACCAGCAACAACCAGCAACAACCAACAACAACAACAAACAACGTTTGTCTTTCTTTCACAGGCTGCCCCTTTTTGGGATGATAGAAAGACAAACCAAAGGGAAGGCACCGTGTTAGGGGCTTCACCTATCTTGAGACATATGAGGGTACCTGTCTTTAAATAGGGAACCCGAAAACACGGATGGTGTCCACTTGGTTTCCCCTGAAAAAAAGGAAGGGTACCAACTCAAAGAGAGCTATGGGTGTGGGTCGTCTTTCGAGTTGGTACACCCAACTGTTTGGGGTGTACAAGAAAACCACATGGAACACCAAGATCCATTTTTGGGGAGACCCCGAAAAAAGACACCCCCATATTCTATCTGCTAGCCCGCCGCTTGAAGTTCCTTCTTTTCTTGATGATATCCTTTTTGGGTTGGCTTAATTTTAAAGGGAAAACATTGGAAACCACACAAGGAAACTGAGTGAATCCGAGATGCGCCCGCTCAACATCCATGATATTTAAAGCTCGAACACAGTTTAGCGAGACAACAAACGAGCACGCAAAGGTTTTCACAAATGAACCTGCAAGAAAGACATAGCATTAACCCACTTTCAAACAAAATCACATGAACCACATAATACGCGGATTGATAAACTCCAGGCGTGAACAATCTGAAGCGCAGCATGTTGCATCCTTCAATGGCCGGCTTGCACTTTAGGCGATTTCCGGACTTTCTCCACGCAGCTTCTGAGCTCCCTCTCAACGTGAACGACTTCCCCAGACGCAACGGAAGACCGCCCCCTGCCACGTCGCTTTTGTTGGGGGAACGGGAGGGGAGCGAGCCGCGAAGCCGCGCCTGGAGCGCTCTTCGGTGCGAAGACGGGGGCCCTGAGGAACCTGAAGCATGCGAAGGGCTGCCATGTGACCCATTCGGCCGAAGAAAAAAAAAGGTACCCAGGTACAAAACACCAACTAACATGGGTTTGTGCAAAAAGGCCAACTCACCAAGAGGAAAGTAGTCCTTTCAGGGGTCTGTGCACTTCCATGCTGGGAGGGTACCCAACATGGCACCTTGGAATATGAAGACGAGATCGAAACCTGAATCACTTCAGCCGTCATTTTTTGGGCCACAACCCTTTCTACAGGCCCCCCCCCACCCAAAACAGTTGGAGGAGGCCCAATAGTGATAACTGCGCACTAGCAGACTTGCTCAAGCAGAAGTCGCAACCACATGCAAACTCCTTTAGATCAGGACAAGAATGACTGCCTTCTACATAACACTGTGTTTTCTCCACACTGGAATATACTCATATCACTTAGTCAAAGATTGATGCATCAATGTGCGAGCGAAACACGTGAAGCCGCTTTCCGAGAAAAGCAGAAAGCCGGACATTACACAATTATGCTGGCAAAAAAGCAACTGTGTCTCCATTCTATATGGTCCATACATCCAGGACACAGGACATCCAAGGCGCACTTGAATCTAGCAAAGCCGTGACTGAAGACCAAGATCTGGATGCGTCTGTTTCGAGGGTACCCCTTTTGGGGTTGGCTTAAAGGGACGGCAAAAGGAGAACCATATCTCGGTTGCTTTCTGCTCCACTGCTAAAAGTTTAACTTTTAGTGGTTTAATGGAAAACCCAATAGCTGGCAAAAAGTTGAAGTCCTAACATCCAAGCAAAATGCAACCATATGGCCATGGGCCAAATCCCGTACCCCCAGTGAACATCCCAATCCCCACTAAAATAGACAACAATGGGTGGTGCACCTGCCCCAAAATGGCACCTTTGGTGTTGACCCACGGCCATCTGGTTTCATGGATCCCCGGTCCCCCGTTTTGAGGCCGTGACGGTCGGCTGGAACTCCTTGCCCCAGAACTGCCTCGATGCCGTGGAAAATTGGACCAGCTTTTGGTTGGGCATTTGAAGGAAACCAACCTGAAACCAACCAGAAACCCACCAGAAACCAACCATTTTAGGCAAATTCTAGGGGATGACGCTGAACATGCATTTTTTGTTGTTGGATGCATATTGCTCCGTCCTGCAGCTGAAGTTGAAGGCCATGGAACAAAGCTCACCGAAGACAGTGACTGATGACGAATAAAGGAAGAGAAGGAACCTCCATGCAAGAATTGCAGCAGTTTGTGTGCATCTCTGTCCCTCTCACACCCACAAATGGTCACATTTGACAAAGATCATGCAATGGCCGGGTTGCCGAACAACATCCAAATCTGAATGCACATGTCATCCATCGAACACTCGTCCAGGGCAAAGAACCGTCCCACGCGCCATAGATCATTGGGGCTCCAGCTTGCTCTCTGCCTCCTGGTTGGGAGTTGCAGCTTTAACATCAAAGCCTGCTTGCCTGCTAAAACGTGTTGAACCTGATTTAAGCCGGTTGGCGGGACAAACCAATGGTGGATGTGGCGTCAGCTAAACACAACATATTTCACCATGTCGACCAAAGCATGTAGCAGAGTAGACAACGTAGTCTCTTCGCACTCACTCTTACTTGCTAAATCTTGCAAACAAAGCATGCCTGCTAGACAGAGGCAGCACAATAAGAACATTCAGCCAATTGCCAATGCAAGCTCGGAGGACAGTCTGCCCGTCTGAATCTGTGGTAAATAGGCTGATTTGACAAGCATCGATTGCCGGACAATTGTTGAGATCAGATCCAACCTGATAGGGAGTTTAGGCAAAGCAACTTGCATGATACATGTATATATATGTATATAGATACACACGTATGTAGGTGTAATCATATATGCATATAATGTATAACTATATGCAATATGTTGTTATATTGACCCTTTGTATACATTCATGTATATATATATATATATATAAATACTAGTCCACATCCATCGTTTGCGGCAAGAACACGTCAAACAGGACGTCTCCTGGCGCAAAGACTCCTTCCAGTCATGGGGCGAGTAGCGCTCTCGCTCACCTTCGGCCAGGATACCGCGCTGGAGGTGAACTGTGGTGACACAAACACCGCAACCCCTTGCACGCGACCTCACCGCTTGAACAACATGAAGCCAAGCTCAGACTCAAGCCCTTGCTTGCATTGAGTGTGGAGAGTGCTACCTCAAAACTGCATAGGGTTTGAGCTGCCAGGAGCATGGTTCTGGCAACATTCCATTTGCTGAGGGGACTGGTCAATGACTTGAGGCCTGAGGTTGCTCAGCAACGGCGACATGGGAGGCTCACCGAGTTTGCCTCGTGCAAGGTGCATGCGGATCCATCAGTCTGAGCGTCTCACGGCCACGTGTCTGGATTGGAGCGGACACCTGGCATTTGAAGGGCATCATGGAAATGATGTGAGCAGCTCGCACGGAGCAGGAGCGCTAGTCTCCGCGCTGAGATCTCTCAATCAAAGCTGGGAGCGCATCCTCTGATCTCTTACATGAGTTGTAGATACATTCAACAAGTTCCATGCGAGTCTATCTTGTTTGGAGGGTACTCCTTTTGGTCGGCTTTTAAGAGAAGCCAAAAAGGAAAACCGGCCAAAGACAATCATAATATATATATATATATGTATTCATATGTATATATGCACATATTGGGGAATTCTTCCCCCCCAGCGCCTCCGAGGGGGCCACATTGGGCTGTGCGCTCCGGGATGCCACCCAGGCCTTGGGCCGCTCGGGGCGCTCGCTGATGGGTCCGGAAGCGGACGCGGACGGCTGGGGGAAACTGGCGGGTTCCATGGAGGAGACCCATGTTGACCCGGAAAATGCGCGGGCGCCGTGAAAAATGAGCTCCAACGGTTCCATGAGCATGGGTTGGTTCCACGAAAATGGGTTCCAATGGTTCCATGAGAATGGGTGGGCTCCATGAATCCATGAAATTGGTGGGTTCCTTGGAAGGTTTCATGCTGGGGGTCTGGCATTTTAGTTTCCTAAACCTGGCGAGTTCCATGTACCCGCACATAGGCTCCATGATGGATGGTTTCCAAAAGGAATGTAGTCCTCCAAAGGGTTGCACAACAGTACATGCTTAGCGGTGAGAGGGCAAGGATTTATCTGTGAAGAGGGTTCGGCAAAGACGGGGAGAAAGGACTCCCTTTCTGCAAAAGCTTGCCTGCACTTGGAAAAGGAATGGGTCGAACCTTGTTGCCAACCTTGCTAGCTGCTTGTTGAACCCTGACAATGAGTCTGTTTCACACAGCCCTGGCAACCGAAAGAACACAGGCCATCCGCAGGAACAGTGCCAAGGCTGCCAAAGGCAATTCGACTGCGGGCTTTTCATGGCTGGCTCCATTTAGTTTCCCCAAGCCCTTCCGACCTGTTGCCACATCCCTCCCTCAATTTTGAGACGGGAAACCTTTGGAGTGTCCCCAGTTTTCAGCCAAACCTCCGACGCAACCAATGTACGCCGGCCTGCAGCGAGGGCTCCAGCTTGCGACGCCGCATGGGGGAGGGAGCCTCGAGAATGTAGGCCGCTCTCCGGAGCCCATCTCCCAAGCTTCAGCTTCCCTCTAATTAATTGGTGGTTTGGAGCCCAGCTTGGAGGATTTCTTCCCATTTCCCCCTCAAAAGCAAATCCAAAGGCTCCAAATCCAAACCGGGCTCCAAACCGGCCATTGGACGCCTGGGATCCCTTGCAGGGGACTTGCCGGGGATCCCTGGCCGAATCTGCTCCGGCTCCAAGAAGCTTGGGTTGCGGTTGGGAATATTGAGCGCCCTCCCCCATGGGCACAGACGAAGTAAAAGTAGTGGTTGTTGTTTTTTTGGCAGGGGGTGAGCAAAGACAAGGTTCGCCAGGGGGTGGAAAGGGGGAAGTGAATGGAAAATCAAAGCCGTAAAGAAGCTAAACAACATCAATCTCTTGCTGAAGGATCAATTTCCGTCTGAAGCGTCCAAATGATGGATCCCTTGTCAAGGCGGCACGCGACGCCAAAATCGCAATAGGATGTTTGGCAACCTACACAATCCGACTGTGGCTGATCTGAACTGCTCTCAGGCAGTGGTTCAACAGCCGATGTTAGTAGCAAACAATGCAACATCTCTGCTTGCTATGTGGCTGTGGGTCAAAAATAGGTACCCAAAATGGAACCCTGGTAAATGGAAACATGGACTAAAGCCTGCGGTCCCCTGGTGGTTTAACTTTGACCCATACCCATGTATTGTATTGATGCCTGGCTTCAAGCAGCAAGGCACATGAAGAAGTGCCTGCTCTCGCATTGCGCATTTTTGTGATTGTAGGGAATCACGTGTTTCCGCTTTCCAGTAACTTTTCCAGCTTGCCAAAGGGAAACCCTCCACGCTTGTCTACAGCCTGGTTTACTATCACAGCTAGTCAAATTTGGAAGACTCATGGAAAAACAAACATATGGAAGCTTGAAGGTGCTTGCTGCCCCGACGTTGGTCATGTCGCCAAATCAAGACCTAAAAGCAAACCAACAGGCGTCATTCTGACCCCATGAGGCAAGCGGCTGACAAAAGACTTGGCTCCGGAGTCTCCTTCTTCGCGGAGTCCTCATGGCAAGTCAACGACTCTGACATGACATGTTTTCACCTGACAAGCTGCGGGATCCATTTTGCCAAGCAGGAGAGATGCTGGGATAGAAACACCATTATCATCCTCCAGATCTGTCATATCCCCAAAGACTGAAAGTCACAGAGCTGTTTACTTTGTTGGCAGCGGGGGTCAAGTCCAACAGTACGTAGAATTCTCGTGCACACACAAGCTCTGACGGCTTTGCATGGCGATCTCCGGCCTTTGTGCACTCCTTCTGGGCATCGGCTGGCGTCAGAATCTTGTTGTCCTATGCGCTCACATCATCAGCATCCAGTCGCTGTGGTCTAGATTGCTGCTAGCCAACTGGTTGCACAGGCATAGCGCATCACATTCAGGTGCATCCCATCTTGCTTTTACCAATCATACGGAGAACCTCTAGCTTGTTGGTTCTCCAACTTGAAAAAAGCGTGCATGCAGCTCTTGCAGCGTCCTCTGGGGAAGCATTGCGCTCTTTGAGGACCATGGTTGGACTGACAGGGCAAGACATCCAAGTCACAAGCCTCAAGGACTCTCAAAGGCCATGCGAGACGAAGCACCATAAACCTGAGACGGCTTGACTCCCACCCAGGCTGCTGACTTATGCAAGAGTTCATGAAAGCACCGAAATCAAATGAACCTCGTCGCAAGCGGATGTGCGGCCTACGTACCGAAGGAGACCCAAGGCTCATGTGTATACATACCACACACACACATACAAACACACACACACAGACAGACACACAAACACACAAACACACAGACACAGACACAGACACAGACACAGACACAGACACAGACACAGACACAGACACAGACACAGACACAGACACAGACACACACACACACACACACACACACACACACACACACACACACACACACACACACACACACACACACACACACACACACACACACACACACACACACACACACACACACACACACACACACACACACACACACACACACACACACACACACACACACACACACACACACACACACACACACACACACACACACACACACACACACACACACACACACACACACACACACACACACACACACACACACACACACACACACACACACACACACACACACGCAGACACACGCAAACAAAAAAGACACGCAAAGCCGCAAAGGCATACTACCCCAAGCCCCACTCAAATACTCTTGGCCACTAGTCGTCCAAGGATCATGGGAGCCAAAGGAAGGGCTAAGCCGGCCTCGAAGTGGCCATGGCTTTAGAGCGGAGGAGCACGTAAGCCGATCTGCTGAAAAGGGCTGCAGACACGCAAATGCAAACTTCGTAAACTCCAAAATTTCTGGCCCGATACTCTCCAAAACTACTCGCCCATCGCAACCGCACATCTGGGAACCCCAACCCAACGCCAGGGGTTGCAACCCCGGCCCGAAGCTTTCAGCTTTTGGGAAAAATCGTGGCGTTCTCAAAGTGGAGCCCTTGGGTGGTTTTCGGAAATTCGGAAATTAAAACTAGGTCCTCCAGTGGAGAGGTTAGAATAAGGGTGCCCTTTTTCCGTGGTCTATTTTGGTAGGGGAACCCTCCCCGAAAAAAGAAACGATAAAAGGGCAGCTAGCTAGGGGACCGAGAAGTAGAACAGGCCGCCCCATGTTGGGGTTCCGATCCAAAAATCGCCTGGCGAGGCCGTGGCCGAGATGCCCCAATCCGCTGCCCAGCTCCAGGACTCGCCTCGGTTTGATTGCCGAGTTGACATAGGCGTCCTTTTCGGGGAAATAGATGTCCCTGGTAGATGATTAAACCACCAGGTAAACCAGGGCCATCTATTTTTCGACCAAAACAACCAAAAAGGACCTGTGCGAATTGAGGTGGGAAACCAGTGCCTGGCTCTGAATCACCTTGTACGCTCCAAGAATCAAGTTCTGCCTTGAGGGCAGGCAATAGAGGCCTGATAGTAGAAACAACTCGGAGCAATAAGTCAAAAGGAGTCCTTTGGGCGATTTTGCCATGTGCCTGGGCTCCCAAAGGCTCCGTTTCTCTCTCGGAACGACCGCCTGTTGTAGGGACTCGATAGCAGTCGACACGTGCATGCGCCGGGCCTCTTTTCCAGAGTCTAGGCATGTCCACACACACACAGTGACATAGACATACATATGCACATTACATACATATAATATCATATATAAACAATACGTAACTATATATATATATATATGTATATATTCATCGTAATATCACGCTCACTGCAAAGTGCGGCTTCTTCGAAGCTGGCGTGGATTCACTTCCCGGGATTCAACAAGAATACGAACAGGGTCATGCTCCATCTTTTCTTACTTGTTGATTGATGCCTGCTTGAATCAAATATTTGTGCTTCTGTCCTGGGCAGCGGTGGATTGGTTGGCTGCTCTGTTTATGTAGGTCCACTTCCTCTGGCTCTGGACAAGTCTTCAGGAACCGGGAGCCCCGGCTATGCCCCAGAAAAGCTACCGGAGACATGGCCCGCCCATGCGCCCGGCCTGCCCCGAAACTGGCGAGCTCTCTCCGGCGCCTGGCACTCTTGTCGGACTCGTCTCTGAGTTGCTTCCGAAAAACATGGAAATCTGAAGCTACCTGTGACACACATCTGTGCTAGGTCGACACTGGGACGTCCCCGGAATGGTTGACAAATAGTGGTCCATCGAGTGACTTCTGGTTCAAACACTGCATTGTATGGTCCGCTAGCTTGCTCCACAGCCGATGAAGCCCTGCGAGGCAGAAGAATGCGATATAAATCTGACTAGAACGATTTGCCAATGCAACATTGGGACACGGCCTGTGAAACGCCACCCACTTGCACATGAAGCTGTGCTCAAGTAGTTCTCAATTTTGCTCTGAAGAACTTGCTTGCAATGACATCGGCTCTGGCAGTGGCAGGAGTGACAAGCCTGCTTCTTGCACTCGGTGCATTGTTTCAGTAGCAGTGCGCTGACTTTACGACGCATTGAGATGCAACAAACTCCGCCCTCCCTAAATTGCTGGCAGTTGCGAGGTACACACACACACACCAGTTTATTTCTTCACGACAGCTTTCGCACACCATACTCAAGAGGCATGTCGAATATGGGTGTCATTGGATTTGGTATCTCTTTGAAAGAACAACAAATGGAAGTGAAAAGCGTCCACGGTGGACGTTTCCATTTGCAGACACACACGGATTTAACTTCCTCTTTTTTTGACAACGTGCCAACAATTTGCTATGCCATAACCGTGCTGAGTCTTCAAATGGCTCAGTCTCTTGACGTCAAAGTCTGTCTGTAAGACTAAGGGTTCCTCTCCGACCAGAGAAAGCAACGTGACACCTGGAGATGCTCTCAGTCATTGGCCGGTCAAACAAGCCACGCCCAAAACAAAACCATCGCCCTTTGGGTATCAAACTTGTGAACGCCTCATGGTTTCTGAACATAAATCCGATGTCCTGCCAAGAACCTCTACTCAAAGTTATGACCCATGTCCAGAGTTCCTCCCCAAAATAACACAACATCCTCCTCTCAAAATGAACGGTGTATCGGGTGTCACGTCAATCTGTGGGGGAGTACAGGACCCGTTCCTCGCCTGCAGGTAGTGCAACAGCACCAAGGAGGCGTGCCAAATGAAACTGCCATCTGGCCGCTCCTGGCTGGCCATTGAATTAGGTGAGTAGTTGTATGCGAGCAACCTGTCCATGGCTTAAGCCGCACATCAGAACAACGACGACGAGGTAGTCATTGAATTAGGTGAGCAACCCTTTTCATAAACCGATTCAGAGCCATAGCAAGGGAAGCCGTAGCAACCTAATGACTGTCGGTGACTAGCAGAGGTCATTAAGGACAATAAAGGGTCATCACCTTACCGTGGCTCCCCTTGCAATGGACACAACATGCGGACATAACAATCCATACTCGATTGTTTGCATGCTTTGACTATGCAGCAAGGCCGCAACCAGATAGCACAGCAGCTAGGGGCAGTCTTAATTTATTCAAATCCATCCTTGCATGTGTTGAGCACAGCTACGTAGACAATTGGAGGCCGTAACCGCTCCGCAGTAGTGACATGTAATGTGATGTGTGCAAGGTCCTGTCGCCCGTTTTGAGGATTGCAGTTCATGTTTTGTGTGCCGATTTGAGGCCCAGGGCATTGGGTTTGGCGTTCCAAGGCCTACGACATCCCCAAGGCAACAAGTCGCAAGCAACTTCTACGGCCAAACACATTGACGCGCTGGCTTCAAGTCATCAGTGGCGGGATGCGAGCAACAGTCGCGAGCGACAGTGGATATTCATGATAGGCTATTTCGAGGGGATGACAAGGGGCAACCCGCCAAATGGCCGCCAAGAAACGTAAATGACTTCGACTTGTCCAGTGACCACCAAATCGCCAAACAATGTCCGGCAATGTTGCCGCAAGAAATCGATAGCAATCAATCTGCACAAGCGACAGGGCCCACCCAAAATCAAGCAAACACTGGCCTCAAAGTCGTATTTGAAGTGCGGCGCTTGGGCCTGCGTAGCCCCGGCCAAAAATAGTTGCTTGCCCTGGTTGAGATAGGGAAAAAATGGTTGTCCCCGACCCACTTGCCTACCCACTGCACACCAGCTGGGGCGCAAGTGCAGCAGGTAGGAACCATCTAAACAAACAGGGGAGACGGTCATTGAAACGCAAAAGCGCCACCTTCTATGAACTCCGCCAACCTTATCTTGGCCGCAAGTGAGAAAGTTTCACTGATTGCGTTCCTTCTTGTGTACATGTTTTTATATTTCTCCGCCAACGTGTTGATCTTTCTTTGAAAGTTACAGCGTCCTCAAGCGGATGCTTGACTAAGGGAAGTCAGTCACACATTCAGGAAGTAGTTGGTCATTGAATTTGGCAGTATCACCTGGCACTTTTTGTCAAGGCTCGAATGTCGTCCTCTTGCTCAGGTATGGCCGGCATTGTGACAAACCCTACTCCAGCGGGATCAATGACGGTACCAAGTGGGGCTTGCCCAAGAGTTCCAAAGGGAGAACACTAGGGGTGAGCATTTGGACACTCCCAGCACAGCCTTGTTGAAGGTTCTCACTTGTTGTGAAGGAGGTTGGTTAAATTTAAAGCCTGAAGGCCTTGGCTGTTATGGCCAGATCTAACAGCTGACAACTTTCAGCATTTCCAGGCATTTGTGTTTGGTGCGAAATGTGGGTTGTCCCCGCATATCCTGCCCAAACCAACAGCAAACAACAAATCACTTTTTTGATTGAACGTCAAACCCTTCATTTTAACTTGGCAAAACTCCGATTTTCGTGTCAGTCACACCTCGGCATCCTTGCTCATCGTGAGGCCCACATCGTTGCACGCGCGAAGCGGACCACAAGCTTGGCAATGGCTGAGTTCTTCTGGTTGACGCCAGGAAAGGGCTCGCTGTCATGATTAGGACACAAAAAGCAACTTGAGAACTGAAAGGAAAACACTTCCTTGCGCAAATCGCGGTGTGAATTGTTGTGCCTTATGCTGTGGCTTATTTTCAAAGTGCTGATGCTTGCCACTCAAAGAAACATCGACCTGGCGGCGTACTCTTTGATTCTCCTTGGAGTCCTCCGGTCAACCCGGAAACGAAATCGGTCACGTGCCATCTTCAGCCCGCATGCCTTGACTGCATGTTTGGCATGTGTTGATTGCCACTAAAGAAGGAGCTTCTCTACAAGTACAGCTTGAAACAGGAATGTTGGATCAAGGGGATATCCTCAAAGGGAATCTCCTACCCCTTTAATTTTATTTGGGGGGGTAGTCTTTGGGAAGCCCATTCTGTTCTATCACAGACCTGGCCTGAAAAAGCAAACCAGCTGCAGCTCTGGCAAAAAGCTAGGCTGCCAATCTGGGGATTCGAAACTGGGCCTTCGGGTCGGTCCTCGGATCCGTTCAACATTCTCAAAGCCGATGGCTCCCGTCTCGATGGTTCCAGCAACATCTATGGCAAGAAGTCTGGGTGCAAACCAGCTCAGACCCTCTGTCTGCATGAACGGTTGCGGAGATGCTGCCCCCCATGATAGCTTTGAAAAGTCTGGTGCCATCCATCAGTTTCAGTACCACAGTCGATGAGGGTGAACATTGAGCGTGGCGCATGAGTCATGATGTGCTCCACTCGCGCGCTCTTCTCCAGCATGCATGCGTCTTCACTATCACGCTGAAAGCACTGTGGAAGACTGTAGGTTCATGTCTGAGATGCCCCACTGTTGTCCTGATCGTTCGCCGTTCAGTTCTTCATTCCTGCTTACAGAAGCCAATTATAAAGCTGACATGGCGGCATGACACAAGTTGTTG